GTGGGGAGCTGCCGCTGGGCACTAAGGCTTTGCGGGGGTGTGGGTGACCCGAGCGGGAGCTGCTCGGGGCGATACGATTCCTTCTCTGCCCACGCTAAAATAAACCACGTGCGTGTTTCCAAACGCTTTCCCCCAGCCAGCGGGTAGGGAGGGACGCGGGTCTGGCCCTCACCCGCCGTGGGTGAGGGTGGGGGGTCCCCCACCCTGACGAGGTCTGACGTGAGCGACGCCTTTTTCGGGTGCGGGAGGAATGCCGTTTCCCTAAGGAAACCGGCAGGCTCGCCGACGGCTCTGTTCTCCGGAGCCCTTATCCCGGCGCCCGCTCCGGGCGTTGCTCTGTGGGTGGCCCCGGAGCTGCGTTTCGGCTCTTTCACCCTGCCGAACCCTTTCCCTCGCAGCCTGCCGATGTTCACCGTCCTGCGAAGGTTTTCCATCCTGTTTACAATGTTTGCCGAAGGATTCTTGCTCAAGTGAGTCTTCCCAGCGCCTTCTCCCCGGGGCTGCCAGTGACAGATACCGGTTAGAGTTACAAAAGTCTGAAGGTGTCGGAACGGCGCGCGGCGTGTCAGTGAGATTTTTGTCTGTCGGGGATGCGTGCGGTCAGGGGTTTTGGCTCTGAAGTTGGGTTTTGGGAACGAGGGTGGGCGGAGGAAGCGGATACGTTTTTCTCCGCTGCCGCTCCGTGTGCCTGGAGGGAGCTGGGCGAGAGGAGGTGCCACGCGTGGCTGCCAGGCGCGGAGAAGAAGATGGATGCGCCCCATCTCCGCTTGCGGCAGCCCGGCGCGGTTTTGGAAGCGGAGGGGGTTGTGCCTGTCCGCCTAACTGCTCTCCTCTGCCCGGGTGCCTGCAGAGACCCCAAAAAAGGGGTCACGCCGTGTGCCGACAGCCCCCTCCCCGGGGCCGGCACCGCGGGGCTGGTCCGGTCCCCCCGCGGTGCCAAGCCACCCCGTGCCCAGCTGAGCCCTCTTCTGCCATCGGCAGAGTCGTAGCACTCCATAAACTTGCACCTCATCGACGCCAAGTTTGTGGGTTTTTGGTTTTTTTTAAAATGACGGAGATAATTGCCTAAAAATGTCTTGCTTTTACTCGCTGCTTTTGCACAGGTTGGTTTGCTTGGGGTTTTCTTCCCCTGCCCTGTGTGTGCCGGGAGGGAAGGCTTCTCCCGCTCTTCTCCAAAGTGCTCGTAATACCTCAGTGAAGACTGAACTTTGGGTGACGGCGGTGTCCCTCTGCCTCTCTTTTCCAGGAAGAAGTTTTCTTGGAGTGTTCAGATGACAGTATTTGCTATGATCATCGGGGCGTTCGTAGCTGCTAGGTGAGCTCCCGGTTTGCCGTCCCCTCTCCCGTGTCTCCTGAAGGGTCCCCGCGTGGGCCCGCCGGCAGAGCGAAGGTGAATCAAGGACCACGCCATGTCCCAAGAAGAGAGAGTAAACGCTGACTTTTTTTACCCTCAGACGTGCTCTCTAGTAGGAAAGAATGTTTTACTGACCCAAATCCCAGCCTCTCCTCCCATGATTAACTTTTTCTGACAACTTACTGGCTAAACAGAAGGTGGAAGGAATCTTGCAAGTGTTACGCTCTGCACAGCTTAAAACTTTAACTTGGGTTTTTTTTCCTTTCCCAGTGCTGACTTGGCATTTGATCTGGAAGGATATATTTTTATCCTTATTAACGATGCCTTAACAGCTGCAAACGGTGCCTATGTGAAACAGAAGCTGGATTCAAAGGTAGGCTGACCTTCGGCTTCGTTCTGGGCATTGCGGCGTCGCGCTTGCTTTGGCAGCAACTTGCATCTGAGAGGGCAAAGGGGTGAGACCCACCCGGCGCTACCCCATCCCTCTCCCAAAATCTCCTGTCCAGAAGGTTTGGCAATGCCGCTGTGCCGCTCTCGCGGTGCCAGCGTTGCCAAAGAGCGCTGGCTGGAGCCGTGTCCCCATGCCGGTTACGACCGTAGTCCCTTGCGACAGCAAAGAAATGGCGTTTTGATTGATGGTGACCATAAAGCCTGTTGCAAGCTCGTTACCTGAGTCTGGTTTATAGGTACAAATACACATACACACGTATATTAACATAAATATTTTTAAAAATACATAAAATTATAAATACATGCATATATATATAAAAAACCAACCCACCCTCCGACTCTTCTGTCTCTGAGAATCCCACGTGGATTTAGCTCACAAGACCCAGTCTTCAGTAGCAATATGAATAAGGTTTTATGTTCCTGTTTGGAACCAACTTGAACACACAGATGTTTCTTATTTCTAGGAGCTGGGAAAATACGGTCTGCTGTATTACAATGCACTGTTTATGATCCTTCCCACCTTGACCATTGCCTACTTCACCGGAGATGCGCAGAAGGTAGGATTCCTGCCCCCAAAAGCAATATCTTTATTGGCACGATACCTTCTGGGCAAAATGGGTTGCTTAGAAGAACGTTTTACTGTTCGTTACAATGCACTTTTCTGTAACTTAGCCTTCTTACGTAAAATGGGACATACTCAAAATGTGAAACTGCAAAGTAGTTCATTATCCCCAGTCTGCAAACACAAACTCTGCAGCATCTGAGGGAGGAAGAGGTTGGGGCAAAGGGTGGTAGAGGAACTACCCCAAAACCACGTAAGCAGAAACTAACTGTAAGTCTTACGTTGGACTTTAAATCCACAGAGTTGCTCCATTCAGGGATTTTCGTAATGCTTGAGGAATGGGGAAGTATGAGAGCAATAAGTGAAACTAAATATTATTTAAAACAAAGAAGTTGAGTATTTTTAGAATTAATGAGTTTTCTCAAAATTCTTTCTGTCCTTCCTTCTTGCTGGGGCAGTTTTTATGTTGAATTGCTCTGAGGGCCAGTTTGCCCGACCTACCCCATCAGAGCATGATCTGATTTACGTGCAGTTCCGTATACGTGATATTTATATTATAGTGGTATGATGACAATGATGGTTATTATTGTAGACACTTATGTGCAGCTATACTTGGCTCTCCTGAGCAAAAATGCTCGCTTTTCACGCCTGTGTGAATGGCATCCCCCTCCACGGGCAGGGAAGGCAAATGTCGAAGGCTGGCGGTGTTGCCCCCCCGGACCCCCGTGAGTGACAGCCGTGGGTGCTGGTGGCCCCAGCAGGCGCCCCTGTTGTCCCCTGTCCCCCCTCCAGCTGCGCCCAGGCAGGGAGAGCCTGGTGGGTTTTGTTTTCTCATTGGGAGCTTAATGCCCTGATGACGAACCCCGGTAAGCAGTCGCTAAGATAATGAGCTGCGATTAGCGAGGAGAAGTGGTTGCACGGGGTGAAGGTAGCTCAGACCCTGCCCTTCATAAAGGGCGACTCAGTGGGATATATTTGGGGATAAAGCGCTCATTTATAAGCAGGAGCTGGCAGACGGGGAGCAAAATGTTGCTCTGTGCTGCACTGTGCAGCCTCTGTTCAGCCTGTGGAGAAATCGCCTTTTTTTTTTTATTTCTTTTTCTTTTTTCCCTGAATAAACTTCTTTTTCCTCGGCCGAGCTCCTGGCAGCCGGAGGCAGACAAAGATGCGCTCTGTTGGGGCTGCTGCCAGGAAACTCCACGTTTGCAGCCTGATGAAAAACCCTCTTGTGAAGGGCGTGCAGCTGAACGTGTCTCGCGTGGGGACGGCTGCCGGGGCAGGGGACGGAGGGCTGCGTCGTGGGGGGCCGTGCTGGGGAGGGGGGGGTGTTTGCACAGGAAAGCCCCCCACCACTCTGGTGCGTGTGGATGTGTTAAATCTTGTAGTTCGTTAACAAGCATCAAAGGTAACGACGCTTTGCGAGAGGCAGAAAGGGGCGTGCTGGTGGTGGTGAGCGAAGCCCTGCAAATAATTCCCGGGGGGGTAAAGGGGATGGGTCGCCTGCAGCAGGGCTGGATTTCGTGTCCCTGTCAGTTGGAACGCACTGTCCCAGCTGCCTGGCAGGATCCCTGTGGGCTCGGCAGCCCTCCCCTCCCCTGTGCCAGTCCCTGCCCTGCTGGGAGGGGAGGTGGGGGGCACCAGCCTTTGCCTGGTTCTACCTTCGCTTCTTCACCATGTCACCGACCGGCTGAGGTTGGCAGCGATCTCTGGAGCTCACCTGGCCCAGCCCCCTGGAGCAGGGGGCCCAGGACCGTGTCCGGATGGGTTCTGAGTTGTCTCCAAGGATGGAGACTCCACCACCGTGGCCTCTCGTCCTGGCACTGGGCACCGCTGGAAGAGCCTGGCTCCATCCTTGGCACCCTCCCCGCAGGTGTTTATCCACATGGATGAGATCCCCCTGAGCCTGCTCTGCTCCGGGCTGAGCAGTCCCAGCTCTCCCAGCCTCTCCTCGTGGGAGAGATGCTCCCGTCCCTTCATTTTGGTGGCCTTTTGCTGGACTTTCCAGTATGTCCATGTCTGTTTTGCCCTGGGGCTGTTCTGCAGAGCTGCTTCCCACCCAGCTGGCCCCAGCATGTCCCGGTACAGTGGCAGGACATTGCACTTCTTGTCGAGCTGCGTGGGATTCCTTCTGACCCCGCGTCCCCATCCTGGCCGGCAGCAGCACCCTCTGGACCCCCCCCCCCCCCCACAAACTGTCCCCTGCTGCTGGAGCTTTGTCCTCGGAGTCATCCCCAGACCTGCAGCTGGCAAAAACGTATTCAAGTGCATGGAGTGTAACTTTAAAACAAACAAACAAAAGCCCTACCGTGAGATCCAGGCTTCCTTTAGCCATCTCTAGAGGTTAAATCCCCCTGGGACGTGCTGCCCAAGCGTTGCAGTTTGCAGTGGAGGAATTGCAAGGAGGGCAATTCTGGACAACAACCAGCCGGGAAGTGCCTCTCCTGGTTCCTCCTGCTTGCAGGACTGTTACTCACCGCTTTTTCCAGGAGGGGTGTGCTGGGTGCTGCCGTGGGCTGGAGGTGATGCTGGTGTGGACAACCAGCCTTCCCGCAGCCCCAGGATGTCACGCCGGGCTGTGTTCTGTTTTGTTTTTTCCTGCTGTGACGTGAAAGCCAACGTCGGGTTTGTTTCTTGTCTTGCTGTGAATTATTGTGTTTCTTCCTCCTCCTCCTCTAAGGGTCGGGGTGTGTTTCTTGCAGGCAATGGAGTACCAGGGCTGGGCAGACACGCTCTTCGTCGTGCAGTTTACGCTGTCGTGTGTAATGGGGTAAGGACGTACGCTGCTGCGGTGGGTGCTGCCTGCCTCCGGGCTGGGGGGCAGCCGTCAACCAGCGATGGGGTGGGGGTGTTCTAGAAGGAGCATATTTTGGTGGTCCGAGCTCTTCTGGGTTAAAAAAAAAAAATATATATATATATAAAAAAATCTTTGGTCCTGATAGGGACACTATTTCTGAGAGCTAGGGCAGGTGGAAATAATTTCCTATCCTGCTTCAGTGCAGGTTTAGCCAAAAAAGTGGTGGTATAAATACTGCTCTGGAAAAGAGGGGAAGAGATGCAGAGATGAATGGCAATGCCCAAAGCATGGAGCTTGATGTCGGCTCTTCCTTCTGCAGGTTTATTTTGATGTACTCCACGGTTCTTTGCACTCAGTATAATTCTGCTCTTACAACTACAATAGTTGGCTGCATTAAGGTAAGGGTCTTTCTCTGCTCCCAGGGCTGCCGTAGGGCGAGCGTTGCAGCAATCGTCGCATGGGGCTCGTATTAAACGATGGCTTTTTTAGCCGTTGGCACGGGCACCTCCCTGCTGCCTTCCTGGGACGCGGAGCAGGGTGCTGCCTGCCTGCAGGAGTTATTCCAGCAAAAGCTATCAGCAGCACCGTGCATCCCCTGGCTCTGCCCGCATAGGCAGCGGTGTCTGCATCGGCATGGAAAGGGCAGGACAGAGGCTCTTGGGGCTTTTGCTGTGCGCTGCCTGGAGGGGAGAAAGCTCCAATGGGATTATTTTTTTAATTTTAATTTTTTTTTTTTGCTGCTGTCTGGAGTAGAGGGATACTCTGTGCATGTTTGCACGGCACGCAGCCATGCGTGGCACTGACCGCGGTTAGCGCGTTTAGCTTCCCCAGGGCTAATGACGGGCAAAGCACCCAGAAACAGCCGCGATCCTCTGGGTCACCTCGGCCCAATGAGCCAGTTGCAAAAATACGACGGGCACTCCTGGGCGATTTTCCGGCTGCAGTGCTGGTCTCGCGATGAGGGAGAGCATCGCAGCGCGGCGGCTGTGCTGCCCCAGCCGTCGAAGCTTCTGTTCAGGAGCATTTCTCAGCAGCTCTAAAACCAACCGCTTTGAATCCAGTATTATCGCCGCTTGCCTGTTTCACACTGTCTGCATCTGGGATTTCCCCATTTCCATGTCGCTTTAATGCATAGAGCATACGCTTGTCTCGGGCTATACGGAAACTTACGCTCTTGTTGCTAAAATCTTTTTCCTTTGCAGAATATTTTAATAACCTATATTGGGATGTTTTTTGGAGGAGACTATATTTTTACATGGACGAACTTCATTGGTTTAAATATCAGGTGAGAGCGTCGGGCCTTTGCAGTTTTTATTTAAGATTTGCAAGTGAAAATTGCTGTGGAACTGAAATGGTTTGACTGGCTCAATGCTTTAAAAAACAAAAAACAAAAAAAAACCCCAAACAAACCAAAAAAAGCCCCCATGGAATTGGTATTCATGCTGTAGCAGAGGAACCGGTGCGGTGCTGACCCATGTCTCGCAGCCAGCAGCACCGCTCGGTCCCTGCTTACAGCTGGGGCTGTGGGGAGCTCCCAAACAGACTCGGGTTGTTTTAAAGCCAGGAGAACGTGCAAGCATATTTTAGCAGCAAACTTAAGTTGTTCTCAGAGTTGCGTATCTGAATCATATAATTAAGGTAGCAAAAGTAGTATTTTTTTTGGTTTATTTCACCTGGTACTTTAGCACTGCTTTTGGAAAAGTCTCCTTTCTGGTCTGGGGTGTATTTCTGTATCGTGAAAAGTCTCCCTGTTCTCCCCGTGTCCTTCAGCAGGATCCCTTCAGTGATGGAGCGGGTCCAGCACTTGGCTAGGGACTCGGGCTAGCAAGCATTTGGGTACAAATTAAACAAAATACCTGATCTTAGGAGGAAGTTTTCTTGCAAATTGATGCTTGCAGCGGATCCTTGACCATTGGCGTACCCACGGTTTTGACTTTTTTCTTCGGTAACCGGTGTTTGTGGCTGCCTGTGGCAGGTCTATGTAACTAATAAACGTGCTGGTGTAAAAGGCAGCATCTCCTCTGGGCTGCTGGTGGCAGGTTTGCGTCGTGCAGTGCAGGAGAGAGCCAGCCATCGAACGTGTTGTCGTTTCTCTGGCTCCGAGCTGGGATCTCTCATTCTCGTACCCAACCCTGTTTTGCAGTATTGCTGGAAGCCTGGTGTATTCCTACATCACTTTTACGGAGGAGCAAATGAGCAAGCAGTCTGAAGCTGGCATCAAGATGGATATTAAAGGAAAAAGCTCTGTGTGACCAGGGAGAGGCTTTTTCTGGAAGCAACCTATTTCTGTTCAGCTGATCACGGGCAGAACGCGGGAAGGAATCCGGGGTGTCTGCCATGGAGTAACGGTGATGCTCTTAATTTGCACAACCTAGATTGCTGCCTTTACAAATTATTGGGACGATAACTGACTGCACGGTGAAGAATATATCTAATTAAGTCTGATTGTGGGGAATTAATGGGTTTCTAATCACGCTGAGATTTGGCAGTAGAGATTGGCACAGGCAGCGTACACGTTTGAATCGTGGAGGACTGTGCCAGCTCGGAGGGCCGTACCCCGAGCATCCTTGGCTGCGTCTGGGATGGGGGCTGGGGCTGGCTCTGCTCCGTGCCTCCCCCAGCCTGGTCCCTCCGGCGAGACCGTGGTACCCAGCATGGGTCCGGCCCCAAGGGGCAGGCGAACCCCTCCGCTCCCCAAGGGAGAGGAGCTGCGGGGTCGCAGCCCATGCGAGGCGAGCGCTGGTATTCCCCCAGCAAAGCCGCTTCTGCAGGATGCTCCTGGTCTGGGCCAAAACCTCTGTTGAATGCTCAGTGCTCTCTGAACTCACACTTGTTAATTGGGTTTTGGGTTTGTTTTTTTTGTTGTTTGTTTGTTAACCCACTTTTAAAGCTGGGTTTATCTGCCTTGGTTTCCAAGAGCCCTGCAAACATTCATCCCTCTCCTTCCCACCCAAGGTTGCTTTTACGAGGCTCAGGGACGTTCCCAACGTGAAGGTTTTACCTGCCACCGGTGAGCTCGGCAGGGCCAGCAGCATCCTTCAAACCACCCCAGGGTCAGAAACCTTTGGATTTGGAAAAGCTGCTGGCCATGCCAGGGCTGGCCCTGGTGCAGGGACCCTCGCAGGGCACTTTAGATCCAACGGGGAGTAGCTGCAGGGTGTGCAGGAGAGCTGACGTTGTCCCACCTGGCACACAGAGCCTCCTCTCTCAATCCAGAAAAATCCGCTGCAAAGGCTGCAGCTCCTGCCCCTGCAACCCCCTTCCCACCGTGCACGTGTCTGGGAGAGGCACAGGGACTTCAGTCATGGTGTTTTGGCAAGTCGATGGGAAACTCGGGGGGCTGGTGGCTCTGTGGGTGCCTCCTGCTTGTCCCTGCGAGCACGCGTGGCGTGTGCCCACGCTGCAGCACCAGCACTTCGGCTCTGGCCAAGCCCTGTCCCGCAGTTTGTTTTTTGATGTAGTAATCCTTTGGTTTGTGACCCGTTAAAAGAATAGGAATTTTTAATATGTCAGGCAGTGTTAACTGGTTATTTTTTTTTAAAGGTTGTCTTAACACAGCACTTCTTTCTAGGTCTTTTTTGGATTGTCTTTTGGTTTAAAAAGAATTGTTTATAATCTTGGTTAAAAAAAATTTTGGTAAAACTGTATGAGGTTTTCTTGTATACATTCCTTTGGTAACCAGGAAAATAGCTTCTATAGACAATGATGTAATTTGTTTCTGGAAGATAGTTGCTGAAAATGTAACTGCTCTTTGGCGAAGCTGCGTTTATTGGAGTGCTTAACATTGAAGTTTTTATATGTGACAGAGAATTTCTCTGAACAGTGCTGGTAAAGATGCAGAGCGAGTCTGCCAGCCCCTGCGCTACTGCCTGCTCCAAAATCCCATGCCTGGAGTCATTCTGGCCAGGCGTGCCGGAGCTGACATTTCTGTACTAGAGCTGGGGTCTTCCCTTCTCTCCCTTTTGGGGTCAGTGGGATGCGGAATGTGCGTAGTGGGGGATTGGTGTGGTGACTGTATTTGTAAGGCGTGTGGCAGCACAGAGGGCTGAGTCGGTGCGTCCTCGAGCGAGGAGCAGCCCTTCAGTGGGGCTCCCCCCTTGTAGTGCGGAATTGGAGAAAGAAAAAAAAAAAAAAAAAAAGAAATAATTCCCCAGTCATCCTTATTGCTTCCTCCATTTCAGTAAGACCTCAGATTTGCAGTCCACTGCAGAGCTCTTCTTTTTCTAAGGAAAGATGATAAATGCTTCTTGCTGTGCAGAAGACCCAGAGCTACTCACACATCAGCTGCAGGTGTGGTTACTGGTCCCTGCACTGGTTCCCAGCAGTGGGGTGGTGCTGGGGCTGGCAGACCCCTGTCCTGGTGCCCTGGTCCCTGCAGCCCCTTCCAGCGCGTGATTTCACGGGTGCTGTACTGCACCAAACCCCTGTCCTTCAGCCAGGCCTGTGCATTCCTCTCGCTTGCTTCAACAGAAATATTTGCCAATCACTTTTTGCCATGTTTGCTTGTAACTTCGCTGTGCTGAGGCATTTGCAGTCGGGATGTCAATTCTGTCGAAGGTTTTGATTTTTATTTTTTGAATCTACTGGTTAGATTTCTTGTCCAAACGGTAAAATGTTTTTAAAGCTTATTTTGTTTGTAACTGGGCACACTTCAGTGCCAGGGTCTGGATGGTATTGTATACACTGGGAAAGCGAACAGAGTTCCTACGACAGTATTTTCTATGCTATTAATAGACTAAAAGTTTTTCTATATAGAATCTATTTACAAAATGGCTGTTTTAGTGATTAAGAGAGTGACATTTTTATTTGAATGTATGGCAGGCTTTATATGTCAGTCAGTGGATGATAGCAAAAAGAATTTTATGATGTGCCTATGTATTTTTGTACTGGCTTCAAATAAACCGATGACCTTCCCTCCTACCCTGCCTGCTCTTGCCTTCTGCCAGGAGCTGGCCCTTGCTTCCCTGCAAGAAAAGGCTGGAGATGATGAAGGTGCTGAGACTGTGTCCTCTGGTATGTGTGGAGGAAGGGAGTGGTGGTGGTGAGGGAGGTCTTTTGGGTTTTTAGCTTTAAATATTTGAGGATGGGAAGAGGAAAATTAATGGGGGGGGGGGAACCCAAATAACCAAACAAACCTAGTGCCTTGCTAAAATCAGTCCCTTTTCCTTCTCCCCAGCTAGCCAGAGCTGATGTGTTTTATGGGGATGGAGCACTTCACAAGGTGCTTAATGCTCCTATTCAAAAAATTCTGCTACAAACAGGATGGGGTCTTCACATCCTCTGTAAGTGGAAATACTCTACTGCCTGTTTTGAGAAAAACAAACTCAGGAATTTTTTATGCAGACAGTATGTTTAAAAAAATACTTTAATAAGCTTTTTGAGTTGCAGACAGGGAGCAGGGATATTAACAGTGCAAATTTACTATGTGTGGAAAAATGTATAAAACTAATTTGTAAATTTTGTGTATGTGTGGTTGTTTTTTAATATCATGTTTAACCCTTTAGAAAGCCCAACAACCATTTATTCTGTTGAACTGGATTCCCCGTGGAGGCTGCGGTCTTAAAGCACTTCATGAATCCAGGCCACCCACTCCAGCTGAACCCATCACGCTAGTGCTTGAAGAAGTGTCACATGCAAGTTGTGATCTTTCTTTTCAACACAGTTTGGAAACATGTTCAGACCCTTCTGGGCTCCAAACTGTAAGGAAGGCTTTTTAAATGAAATCAAAGTTACAATATTTCTAGAATTTTAAATAGCTTTAGTAGTGCAATGACTTATCAAGTTAGAGTGGCTGCATTTTGAAGAACACAAACAAAGTATTGTATAAAACACCAGCATAAACAAAATGTAAATTATAATTAAATATTCTTAAAGTCTAGCTGAGCATTACATATTTGTTGATTATGGAATGTCAGGTCTCCTCTATGTATCACCAAAAAAAGGTAAGATAAAAAACAAAGCAACATTCCTGAAAATATACACAGTGCTGTATTTCACACACAAGCCTGAGACAATTTACTTACAAACTTTCCTATAAATTTTTGGAAGTATTTCCAACTTGCAAACAAAAATGCATAAAAATAAAATTGAAAATAGGACTCTAGTTACAAAGACTCTTAGAAGCACTGTACTACCCTCAGTCTGAAACCGTCTCAAGACCATCTTTCTTTGATATAAGGCTGTGATACTTTGGGTTTCCGTTAATAAACCAGATTGTGAAGTTAACAGCAACCTCTTACTAAAGCAATCACTTAATTAATTGATTAATGCAGGCCATATGTTAACAAACCTTACTCATGTGCCTCTCCATGTAAATTGCTGTCTAATTCTAGGCTGATGTCAACTTCTGCACGTCAGCTGCACCAGTTAGAAGGGATCATTCACAACATTTCTGGGAACAGCAGGTTAATACACTCCAGTAACTCATCATGGCGATGGAGCCAGGCTGGATCCAGAGGATTTGGCTCATTAATGACCATAAAGTCCAAGTACATGTAGTTGAACAAGAAAACAAAACAAACAAAACCCTTAGCAGTTGGGTTTCTTAGATTGATAACATTAGTTTCAAACCATAGGACTGTACATTGAAAACTGGAATCATAAAGACTCGTGAACTTTAAGTAAAAATAACCAATAATTAAAAATTAACAACACACCTGTAAGCCACAGGAAGAGGACACAAGATAGGAAATTATACAAATAATGAATAATTTTTCCTGTTTTCAATACAGTAGACATATAGCTGTGGCTTGAAAAAAAAAAAAACCAAAACCAAAACAACAAACCAGAACAAAACACTGGTATTGAAAATCTTTCTATTTCATGGATGTAAACCCTACTTCAACAACTTTCAAATTACGCTAGTGGGACGGTGAGCATCACCCCTCCACATGCTTTTATAAAGAATTTTCATTTCTCACACTTTAACTATTTTAAGATTATCCATACCTACTCTCACTTCTCACATGTGAATCTCTATATACTGAATGTATATAATGTGTATACGCTGTACCAAGTATGTGTATGTGATGTTTCTGCTCCCACTGAAATACCCATCTGTGTAAGGTCCACTAGTCTTCAGAAATTCAAGATCAGGCACCAGGTTAGCAGCTGCACGTCCACTTCTAACCTGTACAGCCAGAATCACTTGACCCATTTCCTACCCTTCCTATGCTCAGTGAAATGTAGAAGATGACAGATGATAGACTGAAAATAAATCAATGGATAATCTAACACCTGGTCTTGGCGAACAGGGTTTAGTAAACTGAAGCATTTGGCTGACATGAAATTTATCTGAGCTCAAAATAAAATGAGAAAATGTATAATGAAAGCAAGAAAATTTGTGCAATGCAAGCATCATGCTTAAATTTTTAGCATCACTATTTGCCATAAAACAGAAGAAAGAAAAATCATGTTTTCAAAATCAAATTACTTCTAACCATTCTTGATGTTAATTGTTTACTGTTTTCTGAAAAGAAAATAACATGTTGGTGACTAATAAGCATTTTTTAAGTCAATTGGTTTGGTTTGGGGTTTTTTTGTTGGCTTTTTTTTTTTTAGAAAAGACTTCAGCAAAATAAAATGAAGCTGACATTAGACTTAGGATATCAATTCTCTCATAAAAGTTTACCAACTGTACAAGTTAAGAAAATTATACAAGCTTTTGTTTTAAGAAAGGACAGTTCAGTCAAGACATAGGTACTGTAAAAATCTTTCAAAGGCTACAAAGAAATCTGGAAAAATACAGAATGTATTTCTTTCGCCCAGATAAAGAATATGGAAAGACATCATTGATGTCAACAATTTTACATATACAAACCTGACCTGGTTTATTTATTTACCTTTTAAAACTTCTATATATAAAAATAGTTGTGCTCATAACTTTCAGGATTCATAAGGGTTCCTTAACAATGGGATGACACTTTCTTCTTGCTAGCATGAGTGGAAGTCTCTGTGCCTACTCTGATGCGTGTCTTGGCATTCTGTATTTCATTTTAACTTCCTGCAACATTTGAACCAGCCCCCTGCTTCAAATAGGATGCTTTGTTCACATGTAAAATGCTTAAATGGTGTATTACACACAGAATTTTCTTTAACTTGTTAGGCTGGGAGCATTTTTGCAGAAACTCACTGATTTGTTTCTCAAATACTTTTCAGAGCCTTAGAGTTCTCAGCACTACAGTTGCCAGCTCTGAGAAACAGAATATTCTCCTACTACTTTTCAGCGCTGAAAAAACCCAAATAATCAGATCTTAAGAGCCAACTAGAACGTATTAGAAAAAAATCTCAGCAGATTGTTTTACGGAACTGGATTTTGTAAGGTAACCCATCAACCCTGAAAATTTTAGACACCCAAAATTTACTCCACGGAATAAAATCAGCTCCTAGTATTCAGTCATCCAAAGTTTCTAGTTCTTCAAGCTTCCCATGAGAGTTTGCTTCTTGGAAGAACTCTGAAGAACCTGGACTCTCTTTTCCATTGCTGTTAATTCTTCTTCTTTTTAGAGGTCTTTCATTTTTTTCTTCAAAATCATTTTCGTTTCTTGAAGCTGAATGAGCAAGTTTTGGGTCAATGGAAAGGTTTTCAGTTTCATACCCATTTGTATCCAGATCCGTGTGAGGTGTTTTCTTGCCGCTGGTAGGTCCATTTACATGCAATCCTTCAATTTTTGCTTCATCTTTATTTGGTATCTCACCTGGCCCATTAGCAGACACCCCTGTGTTACGGAAACATACTATGAGGAAGAGAATAGAAGCATAAGCAGGAACAGAACAATCTGTCAATAAAGCAGAAGTCTAACTAGTCCTATTGAACTAAAAAGCCAATATTGTTCTCCATATCCTCACTGTACAATGAACGAGCGATTTATTTGCATACAAATGACAGACTTATCATGACAGAGTTTATGGAAGCCCTTACAAACAACAGCAGCCAAGAAAACGTCCTGGAATTGCGTGACTGTACAAGCTGCAGGTGGACTGTCCTCACCAGGGCAGCTTCTGTAGCTTCCACTCTATTTTCACAGTCTGATTCAGCCCCCAAGCTCCTCCCTCCTCTTGCTACTTCTTTCACTTCAGCTCCTTCGGAATGGCTGTCCCTTGCTTTTGAGTTTTTTCTCCTTCATGAGTCATTGTGCCCTGGCTCTTCTCCCATTCCTAATTGCCCTTCAGTGCCCCACGTCTGGTAAGAATAGCTAACGGTGTTCCTGAGACAAGCACTGGAAAAGCACTAGCATGCTACACAATAGCCCAGTTCCCATCTCAGTTGTTTTAAACATCCTGCATGAACTCCTCACAAAATTAGCACTACACATCTACACTAGCATGGGGAAGACAAGAACAGATTCATTACATTTAAAAGGAAGATTCTAGTAGAGATTTATCTTCAATATGTGACCACTGGCTAAATGCAAACATAGCTTTTTTTAAAAAAAATAACTTAAAGCTGCTAACACCTTCAAAAATATATAAAACTAAAATAGGCTTGTTTTTCTCATTTGACTTGTCATCTGTGGTGATTTGGCAACTCTTGTTTAGGAGGGGCAGGGCACGCACTTACCATTCTGATTACTGTTGCTGGTTGTGCTGTCTTCCCTTTCAGACTGGCTGGTGCTGCTGTTGGAAGTTGTAGGAGGAGGGGACGGAGCTCTACTGGAAGCAGCACTTTCACTTTCATCCAGGAGACGGTCCATATAATCTCTACACAACAGAAACAGCACATTCAGCATTGCCCTTGCTGTGTAAAGGACTGGTGTTATTTGTACAAAAATATTCACTGCACATACTGCAAGTGTGACCAATTCACATTTTATATCTTTTCAAATGCACAGACGTATCTTGCAAAGTTAACAACTTTAAAATCTCCTGTATTAAGTGGCCCACGTATGGTTTGTCCACAGCAACTATGTATTTGTTGACCAATCACTGCAGCCAGCTTATATGAATTCAGCCTGTGCTTATGCTAAGTCCCCTAAGATCATGTACGAGCAGAAACTTCAATATGCTGTGATGTTGTGGACTGTGTTTTCAAGGTCATGCTCTCAGGCAGGTTCATACTAAGCTCCTGCAATTTGCTGCGGCAGCGATAACATACCATTAAAGTACATAAGTTTTCTGCACATACAACCTCAAAAAGGGTAAAGTTAAAAGCACATGAAAAACTTCAGAGTTAAAGACATTTCCAGATCTGAAATCTACTACAGTCCTACAATTTAGGTCACTAATAGTAAATCTCTTATGAAAGATTTAAACAAACAAAGCTGGTTGGTAAAGCCCTTGTATGTATGGTATTAGCCTGGATTAGTCCAGAAACAGCATATCCTCCTACACAATTATTCTGGAACTGATACTGCACCCTAAATTCCCACACCTATCTGCAAAATCATTCAACAATAGACAAGTACAACCCTTAATGACACTTCTTCTGATCACCATATGCAGTCAACTGCAAAAGAATCAGAGAATGTTTTAAGTGATTAACAACCAAAAATTTGGGCAAAAATGGGGGGGGGAACAGATGGAAGAAGAGGGGGAAACAGACAGTCCCTGAAAACTGGTTAAGAAAATCTAGCAGCAATGGGTGCTTTTCTTGTCTGCTTTAACAAAGCCACAGATGGCAACTCTTAATGTCATACTGCAAGTTCACTTCAGTGGTCCAACACACAGTTCTAAAGTGTTTAAAGAAGCAACAAAATTAAAAAGAAGGATCAACAGAAAAACTGGAACAAATGAGAAATAAAAATAATAGTAAAAAGACTTGGAAAAAGTCAGCGGAAAGAGTGGGATACTAAAATCATAGCATTGGAATGAAGGGCAGAAGAATATGTTGGCTCACTTGCTCAGATTTGAGGGAAGAGAATACAGTTACGCACAGACATTTCCCTCTTTGCCTAGCAGAGATGTTAATGGGGAAAGGAACCATGTACACCCAAAAAAGCCCTAGTATAGGGTACTGTGTTGACCAGAATTCTTGCCAAACGATACATCTCAAGAGTATACTACAGCACGTACCACAAATCCCACCTGAAACTTGTGACTAACGCCTCTGTACAAAACATGTACCTAAAGTAAAACAAGCATTTAAAAAACCCGCATAGTTGCAGAAATGTTACATTTGTGAAACATTTAAACAGAAAACAAACTAAATTAAATAGCTGTTCATTGCAAATTGTTAGCCTTATTCCAAATAAATGTATTTTAGAAATTACATTATACGCAGTAGTAAGCTTTTCTTACACCTTGGCTGTTTTCCTGCTGCAAATTGGGACTATGGAATCCCTCGGTTGTCATACCATTTCAGATCAGAGCAGTATAAAATAAAGATTTACATCCAACACGTAAAAGCACATAAAATAATGCACATCTTACGTTACACCAGGATGAAGATTGTATTTCTTCTTTCCAAATCGGGTCTGCTGCGCAAAGAAATCATAACGCTCCGATTTCTTCCACATGTAATAAAATGCTACACACTCGCCAACTGATCTCGTTCGTACCTAGGAAATATGTCCCATGCAAATTTTGATGAATTTAAATACATTTTTGGCAAAAAGCTACCATTTAAATCAAAAGGTGTGATATTCAAAATCAATGCTTCTTTATACAACATAGGAAATAGTGGAAATTATTGACTTGAAATGTCAGAGACCCAGAAATTGACATGCAAAATTTAATAGGGTTTCTAAGAATACTGAAGTTATCATGAGGTGCTGCAAGCAACGGCTTCAGGAGAAATATTCAAGTCTGTTTCACCAGTCTATTCAAGACCAGAGTAAGACTCTAAGGATGGAGATCTTCCCCTATGTATCCACAGCAGGATTGTTGGGACTTTTCTGAACTTGGAGTTCACAGCCACAGTTACAGAGGACTCTAGACTTTAAGAAACCAATTTGGACATATATGTAGTAAAAATTAGAAGCAGTAAATATAGTAATTTGTGAAGGAAATTGAGGATAAGAATTCATTTACAATTACCTTGCTTTAAAAAAAAAAATAATGTGAGAACTACACTTAAAATCAGTGTTTACCTTATTTGCCTGAATCACATGAAAATCCTTGCCATAGACTTTCAGCCCTTGCTCAAAGTTCCTACATTCTTCTTCTGTCCAAACAGATAATTCTTCTACAGCAAGAAAACACAATAAAGAAAATACTTAACAAAAAAGCATACGGCCAATGAAAGAAAACTTAAGTGACAGAAAACATACGTGATATTCAAGTTTCTTACACCATCTGCTGACTAAATGAGAACCACCTCCAGAAATTTCACTTACTAGTACAAAAATGAAAATCCTCCCTTCTAGTGAGTAGGTGGGAAATTTGGCTGCCTTAAGTAACTAGTTGGTAGGGACTGTTATAAATGGTCCATAACTCCAGACCTGTCGCATGGGGAAATAACCCAGCCAGGAGAAAAAGGAAGGGCTTAGAAACCCAGTCTCACCATTCTGCCCCTAGAACCATAGGAAGCGGGTATCCTTCAAGCCAGGACACAGCACAAAGGAGTTCATGCTACAGACTCAAACTGGTTGCTGGTATTTAGGAGAAGTGGGGGAAAAGGAACGAGGAATGAGATCTTCTTCACTGCTGGCCAGAGCCAGCAATGATAGGCTGTTAATTCCAGTCAGGTAGAATAAGCAGCTGTGCTGCTCATGCTACTGGGTGGGAAATCTTGGCCCCACAGAAGCCGGAATAAACCCCCAATAACTTTCAGTCACACTTCTAAGAACTTAATACAATTTGGCCTTATTGATTCTTAAGGTCACGAATAAATAAGGTTTAAAATAGTGGGAGAACAAACTAATCTCTGTTTGATCACTCTTGTCTTGTGATTTGCACAGTAAACTCTGGAGAAACCACAGGTTTGAAAGCAGAACCAACAGATCAATGTGCAAGGAAAATAACTTGTGCCTTCTCTTAGTTTCTCGTTCCTTTTTGAGTATAGAGATCAATACTAAACCAGAAAATGCTTAAGGCTCCAAAAGCATCTTTAAGACCAGGGTCTTATTTAGCAAACCATAATACTAAAAGAGGTTTAGATGCTCATTCTCCTTATTTAGAATTGTGAATTATTTCATTTTATATCTCATGTTTCTTCCATTAACTTTGATGACTGAAAAGGTCTAGAAGAACAAAGAACAAAATGCCCAAGAAATGCACAATTCAGTTGCCAAGAAGTAATTTGAAATTTTAACTTGTTATTAAAGTCACAGATACAAATATCGAGCTCTATTGACAGGAAGTTAATTTACACACCCTCTTTGAGCATGTACCTCTTTATACTATAACTGCTAATTTCATTCTCTCAGAGAACAGTAACAGATTCACTGAAGGTTGCATTTAAAGGGGCACTGATATGCAGGGCTGGCATGCAGTCAAGCTCTGATAAAATTTCTCAGTCTGCTGACAGCAAAACCCAATACCTGTGTAACAAATAAAACGAGAGTTCAACAATATAAACTTAACTTTCAGTGTATGCTCACCTCTGGCTGCTTTTACATTAAATCTCAGCCTTCGCAATGATTCTTCAGTATCAAAATTGCACTTAACCAGTTCATACAATGCCTGGAAAGGTGAAAAGACACACATTTAACATTCTAGATACCACTCAATTTCTGTTGTGCCACAGAAGCATACTTAGTAAATCACTAATACCTATTAAGAAAAGATTAAAAATAAACTCTTTGAATGAATGTAATATAATTTAAGAATGCACAAAGACATATTTCCTCTGTTTAAATTTCCAAATCTCTAATTACATAACCAAAAATATATCCAGGCAAAGTACTTTAACATTTTCATCCACTGCATACATTTGTAAAATTGATGGGGTTTTTCTGTATGCAGAAAAAAATAAGTATACGTTCACAGAGCTTTAAAAAAATCTAACTCAAAGAACAGAACTCATCCATACACAATTATTTATACATAAAATAATGCACTGATGCATAAAGCAACAGTAAGCCTAAGTTAACTGTTTAATATTTGTTGAGAGGTAAAAAACCCATCACATTTCTATTTCCACAAGAAATAACAAAGCTGTTTCAAACACAATTTTAATTCTTGGGAGTAAAATAAAATAAAGGGATAAATAATTCTGTAGTATTAAACTACAAATCCTAATTATTCTTATATACCTGCTCATTGTCTTTAATATGGGATCCTTCAGGAATTGCATCTAGGCCTTTCTCATCACCCGTACGCCTTGACGCTTCGTTTAGGAACTCAATCACTTTATCTTCTGGTAAAAAGTCAGGATTCCACAGCAGCTGGTCATCATTTTCATACACTGAATTAAGCACAGGAAAAAGACAAGCAAGCTAAAACAACAATACAGGAGTTTATTCTCTCTTATAAAGCTCGTGATTACAAAACCTTGGAAGATCATTAGAGCACCACCATTAATCCAGAACACACATAAGACAAGTAAAAGATAGTCTCATGAATGCAGTGATCCAAATGACTAGGATACTATACCTTGTATTGTCTTCAAATCTCTGGTATAACCTGTGCTCTAGATTCTAGGACCCATTTATGAAACTCCAGAAACTCCACCTTCCCTGTCCTCCTCCTGAAACCACTTAAAACACGAGGTAGCAGCACTACCTGACACAGTCCCTGAACGATCCATCCAGCATGCCTTTTCCCTAAGTTTTGCTGATGGCAGCCAGCAGGCATGGAAAATTACTTCAGAAACGAATTATATCTGTTTTCGTGCAAGATGATTAGGATCAGTCACATAAAACCAAAAAGCACACCACCAAAAATGGTGCTAAAAACACTACCAGGTGTCTGGAACACTAAATATAAGTGTCTCAGCTAACATGGCTGGCAAAAGCCAGCAATAAGGTCCACTACTTCTCCAGGGAAGATGACACCCAGCTGTCAGACATTCTGAAGTCAAACAGACTTCAGAAGGAAACTTTGCTAAGACCTTCCTGCTACTTCCAAGAAATACTTTCTGCAACAAAATCATTCAGGTAAAGATTGCTGAATTTCAATACGACCAAATCTCTACTGTTTTCTCAGAGCTTTTGTGTGAGCTTTCAGACCAGGGAAGCCATAATAAAGTGAAATTAATGGGAGAAACATGGCCAAATGACATATCCTCTGAATTATCTCCCATTTTTATTTTTGAAGAGCCTACAGCTTTGCAGGATTATAACACTAGTACAGCAAAATAAAGTAAAATTCAGGTTATTAAAAAACCCTAGAATCAGGAAAGCATCCAGGCCTTGCTTATGGCCCAGTCTCCAATGAAAGATAACCTTACAAAAACCAGCCAGAAAGTAACTTTAACATTGATTCCATTAGCTGGGTGAGCACCTTTGACAAGAGAAAGGAGTGAGCACTTGGGAAAGCAGGGTCACCCCAGGAAGGGAAGATACAGTAGCATTCTGTGGAGGTAGAAAGGTCAGAGTGGCAGCTAGATGCATCTCTACTTGAATAAAATTATTTTTAACATGAAAGTTGACTACAAATGAAAAACCAAAAGTGGTAAGGAAAATTATTAAGTGTCTTGCACAGAAAGACAGCTTCATTTCACAAATGATACACTCTTTGGAAACCGCTCCCCGCAATTTTCTGGAAGCTTTTTGTTTCAAAGGCTAGTCCTAATCTGATGTTGGGTTGCTCGTTTAAGAAAAAGATTCCAGGTATCTTGGGATACAAACTCCCGTAGAAGCAACAATTCTTTTCAAGAGATGACTGATACTCGGTTCTAAGCCACCCTTAATGATGCAAGCTAAGTATACTGCAATGTTTATGAATGATCATGAACGACAGCGGTCAGTTAAGCCTCAAAGCAGCTTCAGCACCTTTCAGTTCACAGAGCTATCCTTCGATTTTCAAACCCAAGCCTTCTGAAAACACATCTTTTAATTTTGTAGATTTTTCATAACCTGAAATTGTTTAGTAGCAGCTAATTTGGTCTCCAGGCATACTTCTCAGAGAGCCAGTCCACTGTAATTAGCTTAGTGTAGATTACATAGTCGTTCTTTCCTCACAACAGCATGTCAGAACACATTCTGAAAAGCAATGTGGTTATTCTTAAGAGTTCTAGCATTTTTGTGCTTTTGCTTACAGGACTGGATATGAAAGGACTAGCCTTCTTAGCATTTGGGAATTTTACAGTTAGAGTTTCCCCTTCATTAGAGAACAACTAAGATGATGGGATATGTACATGAAAGTACTAAATACATAGTTGCAGATGTTTATTTTTCAACTTTTTAAGCTTCATTAATATTCCAGCTGGAGTCCTGCCAAAGATTACATCCAAACACAGCAGAAAGGAAAGAAGTGGCAGAAGATATAAAACCCCACTGGTATATAAAACTAGAATAGTCCTAGCATGATTAGTGAAAATTTAACTTTTCCCCCTCAATGGTTTTTGCCCATGACGTAGGTTCTCTGTTGTGCAAAGAATAGTGTGCAAGACTATGAAAAATTGTTTTCTATATGTTACTGTAATGCACAAAGCAGCTGTATCTTTTTTATTATTGAAGGCCAGAAGCCATTTAGAGCTGAGTAAATACCAGGAAAAGCAGGTGACCAGTAAAGCATAATTTACTGCATCTCAGGCAAATACACAGTTCAAGCTCTATTTTCAGACAGGAGCAGGAAAGGGTGCAAAGAGCAACTTCTTCACAGCAAAAAAGCAGATGTTTTCTAATTTGCTGTTTTCTATTTTTAATGGAAGCTCCTGACTTTTCATGTAGTTTTAAATTACATTCTTTTCAACCTCGCTGGCTTCAAAGTCCAGAGCTGACAGAACATGTCAGCCTGCTCAAAGTCAATAGCAGGACTGATGCTCCTCTTAGTTTCTCACTAGATCAGGCTACAGCGCAGCTATCGCAACCTGGAGCTCGAAGCAAGACAACTGCTAGCACTTGAGTATATCCTCAGATTCTAGGAAGGCACCGGGTTTTATGCTGGTTAGTTTAAAAACTAACTTATATAAAACTACAAAAGAGGCAGTCTCAAACTGACCTGCAGTGTAAACAAATTCTTAGTAATGGGCTGAATGAGCAGGAATATTTGCTTCTTTTAAGCTTACAGCTGGATTTAAACTGGGTCTACCTTTTCTGACTTGATTATATTGAGAGCATACAGCCAAAGGCTCTGGTTCTGAGGGGGGAAAGAGTCCCTGGAAAAAACCCCAAAAGTAGAACAAGAGGTTCTTTAATACTGACTGAAGAGTTACAAAATCTGAAAAATCAAAGCTGCTGGTACCATTTTGCCTCTTTAAACACGTTAATCCAATTCCAGCAACACAATTTCTTTATTATCTGTTTTGTTTTACATAAACTAAATATTCTAGGTGAAGAGGTTAACGTAAGCTACACAGAAAGCTTGTGTACGTGACCAAATTAGAATACAAGGGCTGAATAGGCAATAGGCCAGCAATACAATCTTTCTTTTCCCGTTCCAAGACTCAAGTTCTGACGGTGAAGTACAGGATGAACTATAGTTTGAGATCATGGTTCTAGTTTTCACTTGAAGGAGCTCTTTTATTTTGCAAGACACATGACATCAATCAAATCTTTTACCTCTCCCCACTAGGAAATAATCTCAAACACAGCGATAAATGGTAATAGCACCAAGTCTCACCTTTTTCATTCTCTTTGTATTTGCATGTGCCAGCTGGAATTTCAGCTTGAAACATAGAGCCCACCATGATTTCCTGTTTTGAAATAACAGAAACAAGAAGTTTAGCAACAACAGCCATGATGTTTTTTGTTAGCAAACAAGAGAACGACCACATCTTTTTTACCCCTTAAAACATTCATTGTTCAAAATCTAAAAATACGGTTAACAGGCACTATATGGAAATGGATTTTTGACTATTTGGGGAGGTCTTTAACACTTCTTACTATCAAACCTCTTAATTATGAGGAAAAACTGGAGAGGATTCGGGTGATCTATAGAGCTCAGGGTTACTAGGTAACAGATCAACTCGTTATTCATGAAATACAGGCTTTTTTAACAGCACTTAGTATTTACCTTTTTCCAGTCTTCTGAGGGAATATAATCTTCATCTTCTTCCGATTCCTCTTCTATTTCACTATCTACAAGAAATTGTTCAAACATTTACATACAATGAGCTCTGATGGGGCCTGTGCACGTCAACCCCAGCCTCCAGCGAAGCGGGCTGAGCGAGGGGGCCTGGGACGTCGGAGCCAGCTCCTGGGAGCACCGCGGCATGGGTGACGGGAGGACACGAGCCCACCCTCTCACCCCACCAGCCTCCAGCCACAGGGCAGCCCTGCTCTGCCTCACTGCCATCTTACCTAACACCACCCAAGTGCAAATGGCAGTTTCGGTGACAATGCTAAATGTTTCAGTATTGCCAACTATAAAAAAATGACCCGCTCCGTGTTCGCATTCAGAATGGATTAAGACACACAACAGGCTCTGAAAAGTTAAGGCACAAATTAATACATCCATCGGTTTTACTACTGCCTAATTAAAATTTCCTTTCCCTCACCCAGCTCTGAAGCAGTTGACAAGATCTACATCCATATTTACTACAAACAGTTACTTTCTGAAAGTATTTTTATGTGGATGTTCAGCATCCACACGTGGGTTTCAACACCATTTTCAATGAGCTCCTAGCTTAGATACTGCTGATCTTTTTCCCTTACAGCAGCTGTCACTGAACTTAAGGTAGACTATAGCACAAAGTACGAGAAATCTGCAAGTGTGCTTTTCTCAGTCTTACTGGGATTTAGTAGGCTTGGATGTACTGCTCAGAGGTGCGCAGCAGCATTTAAAATAGATTATTTTGGGTGAGGACTGACAAAAATTTTAAGCTCTTTATGATATAGCCTAGTTGCCTTTCAGAATGTACTGAAAGCAACTGCAATATCTGGTTCATGTACAGCATGTGATAATAGCAGCACTAAAATTATTTATACATTAAATTACATTCTATACACAGCTGAACATTGTAAAAACCCAAAACCTAATGCAATACACTTGCATTACGCTAATGCTAATGCTATGGTTAAAAAACAGAGTTCATTTAAGATATTTGCAATCCTCTGCACAGCGACATGCTGAGGTTCCTTGACATTTTTGGATTAAAATAAACTACAGATTAGAAAATTGCATTTCTGCAATGTCATGGCTAATAAGTATCAAGTATAAGGTATCGTAAGGAACCTTTGCTTTAACTTTTGTTTGTTAAAACATAAAACAGTAGGAATTCAAACATCTGTGACAGTCACTTCTGTCAAAGAAAGGTAAAATACCTGTTGTCCAAATGGCCCTGCTGATAGCTCAATACTAAAAGGTTCAGATCCCATTAAGTAAGATTGCCACAGAAATAGGAGTTGTCTAAATAGACAACTACATAACACTAGCTCAACAGTCTCAAATGGATGCAAAATCAATTTAAAAAAAAAACAAAACAAACCAAGAGAGAAAATAATCAGTCCTCAATGCTGGCAACAGTATCAAATATGGAATTCTTGAACCAAATTTTCTTCATCGTTATCTCCCCCTTTGTTATTTCAGGTTTAACAATCTATTGGCCTTTTTCAGATTTGCTTTTTTTCTGTATTAGCGATCTTGAAGAAATCTGGGGTTCTATTTCTAGTAAATTTCAGCTTTTACTTTTTCCTTCAGTTAGACTCTCACCTTCTCTGAATGAGTACATAACCTGCTGTCACCAGGCCTTGTCATGACAATCATGCACTGTCCAGCAATTATCTAGTTGGAACAGTGCACTTCCTACTTGCAAATATTTTTACCTATATCCTTAGTGTGAACTGGCAGCTGAAACTACAATGGTAAGGTAATACCATACTAAGCAGTCATTTACTGCACCTGGACTCCATGTACAAGAAAATTTTTCTGAAGGGCACACCTATATGAACCAGGTTGCAGGACCATAAACTGGACTGTCACAACAGTTGGAGTAGTGTCATGAACGGATTTACACTGTTGGAGAGCTTGCTTTTTCAAAACTGTAGAAATTTAAATTTTTCCACAAATTTAATACATTGTTTTACGAAGAGAGAATATCTATCGTCCTTATACAGAGTCCCTTATCTGCAGACAGGATTTAGCATTCAGCTAAAAATAGGACTTTTTTTTCCCTATTATTTTGAGCATAATGATCATCAAGAGCATTGTTATGAACGAGAACAAACAAAATGTTTATAGGTATCAACATGCTTATTTCAGAACACTATGTTAACTAGGGCTGTTCTTAACCAAAGGTCAATCATATTGAGATTACTGTGCTTAGTACTAAACTGTACATACTTGTATCAAAATATTTACATCGACGAGGGCGAATTATCTCTTGTGGATCTTGAGAAGCAACAGATGGTGCTGGGTCGTCATTAGATGACTGTGTCTCATCTTCCTGACCTGATGAATCTTTTATGGTCTCCTCCTTAAATATAAAAAAGCAAACGAGATCAGCTATCCTTTGTATGCAACAAACACTATTTTGGCAATATTTTTTTCCAAAATTGTCAATATATCAAACCCAAATACCTTTTATTTGACTTGAAGTGACTGTATAGATTGTGGCCTGTCCAGACTGAGCCACAACAAATGTGTAAACACATCACATTATTTACTGACCAGTATTTTAAGCAGATCAATTTAACACTCAGGCTCTAACATACAAATGAGAAATATTAACTGCTATTAAGTATCACACCTAGTTTTTTAAATCAGTCAAGCAAATCCTTGCAGTTTCATTTAATTTAATTTAACTTTAAATTTTACTTTGGTCTTTAAAACCCTTCCTTATGAATTTTCAATAAAAAGGGGAGGAATTCTTTACTGGCTATACTTTTTCCAATCAAATGGAAATAATACTTTCCATAAAAATTAATGTCAATAGTGTGGTTCAACCCCACAGGAATAGAGTATCAGTAGACTCAGGTTTGTACACTGAGTCATTAAAAGTTCAAAAATTAGAACAAGTTTCTTTGTTAGAAGATAAACCACAACAACTATGGGAATTACTACAATTAAGGAGAATTAAAATGATAAAGGTTGAAAAAGTATATTAGTGCTTTCTATTTCAACGCATGTTGTCAATATCTTTTATGTGTTTTATGACTATGTTGTAAGTACTCACACTTGCTAGTTCGAACACAGAAGCATGAGGCGCAGCACATGTTTATACGTACCTTTACCAGCAGCCAGAGTATTATCACATGTGCAGCTTAAAGCAGATTAAAAATAGAAAATAGCTAAGTGCAATATAGCTAAACAAGCTGTAGAAAGATGAGCGCTTGCAGAGAAAGCTTGAATGATTTATAAAATTATTCCACCCCCACAGATGTATTTTACTGCCTCTGCTAAGAGCATGCAAGCATTTCAGAGCTCTCATTCTTGTACCCTGAGGCAAACAATCATAACAGGTTAGCTAGCTCTCTTTGTGCCCAGTCCTCCTCACCACCTTTGTTCCAAACCTATCAAAACTGGGGTAGAATACGTGAACACATACTTACAACTCAACCACAGTGCCAAGTCTGCAATTACGCTAACCCACTGGCTTGTTTACTGTGCCAGATTGTGAACCGTTGCTGCTGATGGGCAGGAACACGCTTGCTTCTGCAGCACGCTACAAACGGTTAGTGCCCTACAGAGGGACAAAGACGACTCCTCTTGCTGCTAACAGCCGTGACAGACACTGAGATTTTATCCATTTAAGAGAAAAGATAGGCAGTATCTTACAACAGCTAGTAACATAAGTGGAGAACTACAGAGGAGGTCATGAGAACACAGAAGATGGAAGTTGTGTCAGGAAGTAATCAAGGACACAAGAAGAAAGTGAGACTTCAGGAACACCACCATGCAAAACAAAATAAACCACTTCTGTGTCTTATTTTAATTTTGCATCCTTCATGTTAGGTAAGTTTGTCCCCCTCTCCAGCTTCTTGAACCTTTTTTGATGTAATATAACTGTGTATCCTTCTTATTTCTGAACTATTCAACCCATACAAATAGCAATCTTTTACAGCATCTGTCAAGGGAGTATGTAAATCCTAAGAACTTCATTTTCTGAATCAGTTATATCATTCCTCATCTCTGTGTCGCATTCCAGAGATTCTAAAATGGGTTAGATATCAAAAAACCAAAATGCATCCTTTTTAAAGCCAGATTAGGTAATGCAGCTTCCATTAATGCCTAAGCTTTTTTTGTTACTGACAGTACAAAGGGTTTCATATTTTAATGGAATTCAGGATGCAACTCCGAATGCCACCAGTAATGGAGAAGTTACAGCTGTGCCCATGACAGGACAGGATTGTTACAAATATGTATGACATACACAAGTAGAAAAGACTCTTCTAAAATCAGAAAATTTATTTTAAGAGCACACAGAACAGGATTTTAAAGATGCTAAGTTCAAAACCATACATTTTGCAAAGATATTTGAAGCATTAGATTCAGTTAACAATTTAAGTACAACCAGGGCTGCCAGGCTGAAAAAATACAATTTAAAATGCCAAAGCTAGAAAACTTGCAGCAACCTCCAATACTCAAGAGACATTTAATTCAATTCCACACTTCACCGTTCAGTTTGAGTAGATCAGCTTTTCATCTTGAAACAAGTATTCAGCCATATCTATAAAGGTGTCTTCAGGCATTTAAAACTCCAGTTTTGAAGTCAGACTATTTCTGAAGGATAGTTACAATCCCTTCTTACATGATGCTATATGTATACATATACTCTAATTTGCCTCAGCAACAGTTTGGAATGATACAGATTAAATTAAGAGCAATAAAGAGAAATACAGATGGGTAATTAAGAATAAACATTAGAGTTCAGTATGCAAAGCATCTGAAATCAACCATATTACGAATGACTTCTGCCATGATCTGGCATCTTGAGTGGCTGTCTAGTACAGAATGGCTGTATGAAAATCAATTTCAAATTAGTGTAAACACTTACTTTGTTTTCACCACTACAGCCACTGTTGTCATCATTATCAACATCATCATCATCTTCTCCCTCCTCCTCTTCCTCTTCCTCATCTTCATCGTCATCATCTTCTTGGAGTGGAATGGTACCATCATAGCCGTAACGGCTAAGTAGCTCCTGGATTGGCATATCACTTTCCTGATAAACATCCAAACAAAGTTTGAGATTTTAAAAAAATATTTCACATCCCACATCTGCTCTACAGCTTAAAGGTGTGCACTTTAAACGTAACACACCAAAACCAGATAGATGATGACCACGTATACTAAGAATAGCCACTCCAAAATGAATGGACAGTCAAAATTCAAAGTTTTGGCTCCTAAGAAAAATGTGGTGTTTGTTTTTTTTTTTAATTCAGGGAAACTTTTTATTCCCCAATCCTTTATAAATTTACAGCAGATCTCACGTACCAACAATCTCTCAAAGGAGCCATAAAGCTCATTAAAAGGGCACCAAAGGGCCGTATGCCCCATCCCTCCCTCGGTACTAGTCTACTACTATTTTACCAAAACACAAGCACTGCAATGTGGCAGGTTATGTCCGGCTACATCATACCCCTTCAGTACACAGATTAAACACACTCCTTATTGGAATATAAATTGGTATTCCCCTTACCGCCCAAAAACTACCTGAAGAAATTGTAGTATTTTGTACATAATTGTGGAAAAAATACATACAATGTGTGTCAGCAGCCACTGCTTCACACCGACAGCTAAGATATTGACAGTTGTTGCAGGCAGAAACTTGCCCCAGTGCAAGGCAGTGGAATTCAGCAGAATAAGGACCAGAACTTGCAGTACCTGGCTTAAACATGGAATTAAATCTTTGTTTGCGGAATTGCACTACAGGGAGAGTTCCACAGTTCTACAACCCTGGCTTTGAATACAAAATTACACCAAAAATGTACCTCTCTGTCTCTCTATACCTCCCCACTTTCTAGGCAAAACAAAAAATGAGGGGTTGGATGGGGGCGAGGGATCATCTTATATTCAGGATCACCCAATATCCAGGTAAAGATAGTAGTAAGTTTTACAGATTCATACACATTTTAAGCTAGTTGTCTACAAAACCATCCACAGTTGGAAGCAAAACTGCTAAAATATGTGCACAGTTAAAAATCTTTATATTTAGAATGCTGGTCCACTCTAAAGAGACAATTCAAATGATACAGTTGGTTCTCAAATTTAGTGGCTCCCAAACTGTTATCAATTGCATTCACTTTATTAATAAAAATTATTAATTGCCAGGTCTGCAAATTACTTTATTACTTTTAATACTCAGTATTCAGCCTTCAGGGGCAGTATATGGCATCCCTAAAGAGATTTTTCAGAGCAGAAACTTTCAGAGAGCATTTTAAAATTATCTCTCTCACAAGATCAAATCCTTTGTTTATTATTTAGAGGTGTCTGCTTGCTCCAAATATTTCTTCTTAGTATGTAATGTGCATCTCAGCTGATAATCAGATTTTTTTAGTTACCAGCTGACGTTAAACTTCCTCCAATGAACTCCTATCCTAAGGGCCTTAACTGATCAACACATCTCTAGTTTCTGGAAACATACTAACAATACCAATTACAAAAGGCAGATCTAGTTAATTCTGCTGTGTAAAAATAAGAGTAATGCAAGGGTTACCAGTGCTTATTGTCTGTGTATTTTATTTATTTTACTTCAAAGAACTAAGCCATTCTACCGGTTATTGGTCTAGTCTTTGTTTAAACTATCCACACAGTAGATGCAGACCACGTGGACCTAAATGTCCTCACCTTCCCTCTTGACTCCTTGGTCCCTATCTTATCATTTTATGGAAAGAACTCTTAGAAGTGGGGAATTCATACTTTACTGACACAGACAACACAACAGGACTGTGATCTTAATTAAAACCTGACAGTACAGCTATCAGAAAAATCCTATTCATAATTATCCAAACAAATGTTCTCCAGTGCATTTTGGAAAGTAATATACTTTCACTAAGCACTCCTCACCACTACCCCATCTGTAGATACAGAATGAGAATTAAAAAGAACTTTTACTGCAATTCGTAGGTACGTGTGAACTATGTAACAAGCATATGACCTACTATGTTACCTAGGAAAGTGGTGTTGGATTTACAACATTTTTCTTAGGTAGAGCCTCTTAATTTCAGATAGTCCATTACAATCCAAAAAGCTCCAAGGGCCAGCAACTCTCCAAAATAAAATACAAATCGTGATTTCTGTATTGCTTCAGGATATTGCAAAAATAGAAAAGGCTAAAAAAGCAACAAGGATTATCAAAGACACAGAAATTTCTTATGTGGAAGATGCTTAATAACAAGAAATGGATTATAACTCATGCGTCTGGAGTAGAGGTAAGTGAGGGCAAGTGATATAACAGAGAACTGTATCAAAAGCAGCACAGAGAAGGTAAATATAAATGACTGTACACTATTCTAATTGAAGAGCTGAGGGGCAACCACTGAAATTAACACAGAGTAGGTCTGAAAAACCAAACATGTTTCTCACAATAAATGAACTGCACAACACTGCCACATGTCTCATGGACACTAACTTTACAGAGGTTAAAAATCAAATGGACAAATCCATGGGAGGAAGAAAAATAAGACTGACACGCATTACAGACAAAGAAAGAGACAACATCTTTTTCTTACATGCCTGAACTACACCCTCCTAGAAGAGTATTTGGGAGAAACACTGCTTGCTTCCATGTATGGTTCTCTCATTTAAAGACAAGAGGATGCTGGTGCATAACCCTAAGAAACCCAAGAGCCCTCCCTGAAAAGGGAGACCCCAAAAGGAGAAACCAAGTGATTATGGAAAAAGGGAGGGAGTCAAAGGCTTAAAAATCTGTAAATAATGCAGGGGGCCACCACACACAGCACCCTGGCAATGCTCACCACTTCCCAGAGGCACCCTGGAAGCCAGCACACACCACCCAGTAGTGCTCTGCCCACAGATGGGGCAGCACAAAGGTAAAGAATTTGGCCTCATGCTCATCAAATCCTCCATGTCACCCTCCCTCCAGCTGATGCTTTGTACAGTCAGCTTAGCTAAGAGTAGGAGGAAGTTGAGTTTCTGCAAGTTGCTGGGGCCTGATTATTTATTATTTACAAGGCAGAGTGTGAATGCAGTTTCCTACCACCAAAATTACGCTGCCAAGTTTCCTGCGTTTTGGAAAACTGCAGCGTCAGCGTATGCTCAGGACGCCGAGAGAAGTGCCTCATCCTAGGCACACCTTCCTGAGCACTGTCTCTCAGGCTGCTGAAGAAGGAATACTGGTTAGCCAGGACTTTGGTCAGATCTGTTATAGATGCTCCTACATATGGAAATAGTATTTTCGGTAATAGTATTACTGAATACATGTCTGGATATGATCAAGGATAGTCTGCTGCTCCACCTCGCAGACAGCTTTCCTGCCCAAGAAAAATTCTTGCCTTTCAAGAAATATCACTAAGAACCACCAAATCCAATACTTCTGATTCCCTTCACATACCGTTCTGCTCTCAGGAAACTATTTTTTCCTTACTAGAGCAGCATAGGGGGTGACTTCAGGTCTCTAGACACAGATATGCTACTGCCATTTAGACAAAAATGTATACACATACTTGCACAGACAAATGCAGGATGCTGCTCAACCTCAAGTACTAATGTGTTACAGATTCACCAGAGTTTCAACCAATGAGTAGAAAAGATCCTCACCCTCAGAGGAAGGTGCAATTTTTATGACAGGAGTTAAATCATTAAGGTTCAAAAATGCTTTTGCAAAACCTGACTGCCACCTCGTCTCTGAAGGACCTGAACTAGTAAATCAGGCACATTGACAGCCTGGGGGAAATCTGAAATAATATGTGTAAATGTCAGGGGAAAGAAAAAGACGGGATAGCACTTGCCTTGACAATAGTTTTGAGATTTACATTGCCTATCATCCATGACTAAAAAAAAGAGATGGAAGTAAGCCTTGATGTGGGGCCTGCTATCCCACAACCAGAGGTAACCACAGGTCTGTAGCAAGATCCTGCTGGCATGGAAGCATCTGAAACTCAGTAAAAACCCTACCTGCAATACACACACAACAATACACATGACCACAAGATTCTCTGCCAGTCTATATAAGCATCACAAAAGAGCTGACACATGGAGAAATTATAAACTTGCAGCCTGACAACCAAGATATGAGGGAATAAACTGATGGCTGAAATACAGTAATAAAGGAAGCATTGTAATGTGGTGATAGAGTTACACAACCAGATGTTGACTCTTCACAAAATATGAGGGGAAAAAAACGTATTTTCAGCTTAAAAACCACATGACATACATGCGGAGCTCCATTTCTCACTTCATCTAGACGAAGCATATTTAGATTCACAAACTATTTATTTATCTTTATGCTTACCATTTAATATCAAACCTGAAATTACGAGAAATAAATTATCATTTACATCCAAAATGTAGATTAAACGTACTAAATTAAAGTCATATTGGCATAATCACTTATACTAAATAGGACTTGTATACCGAATATGCATCTGAGAATCATTAATGATCTGTTCTGGAAGCCTTTTCAGCCAATGAGGTCATAGACAGCATCTAAATTACTTTGCATTTATAATGAACCTAGTTTGTAATTTAAGAATATCATTCCTGCCTGAGAAGTAATTTAAGACAATACATAAGTGACAGTATAACCTCAAAATGCCAAATAAATCTTATATGCAATTATTTCAGAAGATACACATTTTAAGATTTATTTATCACTATTAACAATTGAGAATTCTGACCCCAGCTCTGCTGACAACTCTTTGCTTTGAGCAAATCATTCGTCTGCATCTCCATTTCCTCTATCTTAAAACTGACGATACTCCTATATGCTCCACTAAAGTATTATACAATTGTTTGCATAAAAATGCAAGAGAAACTAAACGAGCACAGCATTATACATTATTAAGTATTTATGTACCAGTTTCCTTTTCCCAACTTTTGAGAACTGTAAATTTAGCTCAGCCCATTTCCCGCATCTATATTATTTGCCTATTAGTGTTTTAGCGGTGGGGTTTTTTTAAATTCCAAAAATAAGGGAAAAAAACTGCAAATGTTTTGTGTGAGACTGTGGACTGTGGTTATGTTTTATGACTACTTAAGGCTACCTACCCTGTTAAGATCCTCTATTTCAGAACTGAAGTTTGTTTCTCCTTCCATCATTTCCTCCTCTTCTAATGTCCGTTCATCATCAAAGTCATGCACCAGCATATCAGCTGATGGATCAAATTCATGGTCATCAGATGTTGCTGAACCTCCTGATAGAAAACATTTTAAAGAATGTTTTTAGTTAATCATGGCCTCACAGAGTTTAGTTTTTTATTTTGGTGACATTTTAATACTCAAATTATACTCAGAAATTAAAATATCTTCAAAATCCCTCAATCATTTATCTTAGGGAAAGCTAATCTCATTATTCAGAGGATGGTGAAAGCTGTCCTTTGGGTAATAAGAGATCATGGAAAAAAGAACCAGAAGATACTGTTTAAAGCAGCCAGTTCTCAAAGTACTACATATGTGGACATCGGGCTCCTAGTTAAATGTTTGTAAAATGTTCAGTTTTTAAAGACTTAATTCTTAAATAATCATAAACCTGCCTGAATCAAGAGTTCTATTGGGAGCAGAAATAGTCATAAAATATAAACTCAGGGCGGTTGTTTCCTTTATACTTTGGAAGCTTTCTTGTTTACAACTACAAAGACAGTCTAATGACTTTTCCAAAATTTAAACTTAAAGTAAGCTTCACAGTTATGCAGATCTTATTTATGATGCAGAATCCTTAGTTATTTTTCCCCATGCCTTTTTTTTTTCCACAGTTCTTTGTAGAGAAGTCTGGTTATATTTTGTGACAATGAAAAATAAATGAATGGATGAATGGTTTGGCAGATGCAGCATTTTTATGTAATTCAGCAATACCTGATTTCTAATTCTAATCCCGCTAACATTTTTCCACTCGTGTCCGTGGAGACTTTAAATTCATTTTCCAAAGCTTAAAGAGTATACCCATGTTGAGGGTGCAAGAGGGAGGGGTTGACTATAAGGGTTAACTATACTTTGTAGTTTCAAGTGTTAAAGCAATTGATTGTTTCTCTGAAAAAAATAAGAGCTCAAGAGACAATGGCAGTCCAGCTGAAGTAACTACTGGAAAACTTTTTCAATAGTAGGATGCCAAAAGCCTTGGAAATAAATAACACTAAGTACAGTGGTACCGAAGTGAACAAAAAAACCCCCAGAAATTCATAATCTACACTTAAGCTGACTACTAGATAGCCAGTAGCTCTGCGATACTGGAATATCAGAAAATAACCAGCTTTAAAAACAGAAGTCATGCAACCCCTCATTTTTAGTAATCCAGTGAGGTAAAAAAATGCTGCTTTTCTTGCTGCTTTTGTTCTTGATGCTATTATGCATAAAATCATACAACAACAGTATTAATTGAGAGCACGCAGTGCCTTAACTTTTGACTCTGTATTTAACTCTTATCACCAGCAGGTAGCCAAGCCTAGAGGGATGGTAACCATATCGCTGGGTGAAGTAGTCTCTTCCATGGCCCCAGCACTTGCTCACACTGTGCTCCTTAGGACTTCAGCATTCCCGAACACGTGTTCGTGCAGCTTTTGCAAAGACAAGAATCTTATTTCCCCAGTGTATTTTACCATTTAGAAACTTGTGCTGGTACAGACTGGAAGAAAGCAGTGACTACTTACACCAGTACTGCCACCAACCTATTCATCAAATTATATCCCTAGATTACTAACTGGAAGAGACCAGCAAAAATAATTTTTCAAGGGTGCCCTCTTCCCTCACAAGTTTAGGAAATATTAAAAATATTTACCTGGGCTTGAAGACTCAACAGAAGGCTAAAAAAGAAAACACAGGAAATTATTTTTTCTATGTTGAACCTGTACAAACTCAATTCAATAATTCATCTGATACAAAGCAAGTCACTGCAAATAATATATTTACAAATAAAGCACCACAAATGCACTGAGGCAATTTAAGATAAATAATAGTCATTTTCTCCTTTATGCATCAATATCACTGCGCTATTTCAGCAAGAATAATTGGAAGAACTGCCCATTTTGTGATGCAATAATTGAGTTGATGAAGGTATAAAATAAAGCAGAACAATTCATTCTGAAAATAGCATTACAATTCCACAATCAGCTTAGTATGGCATAAATTGGTACTATTGCCAGATGGGGCAAAGCTACTTTCTCTCCATCTCTATCTGCTCATCTCCAATTCTTTGCACCGATACAAAACTGAAAACTAACAGTAGGTGATAGGTTAGTTTTTAATAGATCCAGCTCTGATCTAACTCTGTGTACTAAATCCCCTTTTCCACAACTAAGGTATATGCCAGATTATATTGACAGTGGGAGCACAGTTTAAGAGAAATTATTCTTCCTACTTGAAACTGCAGGCTATGCAATACACAAATTCCCTGTTCTATTTAAAACTAAGGTACACACTTTCAAAAGGTAATCACAAATCACAATGAGAATTCCTCATAGAACAAGAGAAAAAAGCAATTTAATTTTTAATCGCTAACCCAGCTGCGAGAGAAAAAAAAACAAAAACAAAAAAACAAATATTACTTTGCAAGCCAGACTCTCTTCCTAAGTATGTTTATAACACAAATTAGTATGACAGACTACAAAACAACTATTTTTTGAAATACAGGAGGGGAAAAAAAAAAAAAGACACTTCCACAGCAATCTCTATGTAACAGAGACATCCTTTGGCCTACCGTATTTGGTAACCTTACATTTATAATCAGAACAAATGTCTTCTTTCATAAAATTCTGCTTTCCCTTGCTTATAACTTTGCCAATCTTTAACCTCCTGGGATAAAATTTGCATCAGACATGCAAACCTCATTTGTTTTGAAAATTCAAGCAAATGTTTCAACTATGTCCAGCAATAGACCTAATGAGTGGGTTTTTTTCAAAGTTAGGAAGGCTGATTTTTTTACTTCAGAGAGCTGTAGTGCCCCTTTCCCTACCACCTTCTGGAAAATGAGATATTGTTTGGTATCATGGATATTGTTATATTACAAAACATACAATGCTCTCTTCATGAAAAACTGCCTGCATTTGGCCAAGAAATAATTTGGAAAACTTCAATTTGCACATTCACGATAGATACTTGTGTGTATGTGTAATACTATATCTAGATTGTACTCTTACTAGAATTGCAAAATCTGTACACTCAGAATTATATGCAAAATTAAAATAAAATATTACGTTAGAAACTGGTAAATTTAAACTCAAGTAATAACTATTATTCCAAGATTTCCTAAAGCATTTTCCTTCTCCTTGACTTCATCTCATAAGGCCAAGCAGTCACTTGCACAACCCACTTCCACCCAAAACACCTGGCCTAGCTACATAGCAAAGCAAAACCTAAAATTTAAAAAATTCTGTGTAATGATAAAGTTCTTTTATATTAGCACCTCTTCAAAGTGAGAAGAAATACACCTTCTTAGGAATCAATGGCCAAAATTCACTTACATGCTGCCTACATTTTACGAGAGTCTACAATGTACAAATGAAATTCAAAAATATATTGGCCTGTGTCAAGCAGAAAGCACTATACAGAGGTAAAAACACATCTTGAATATTTGCCTGAAGGGTGGATAGAAGATACAATGGACAAGAAGTTTCTCTCTCCTAACACTGTATTAGCCTAAAGAAAATATATACATAATATATATATACAATCTATAGACACTACAGTCTATTCTTCCCATACTTACTAACATCCATATGTTTCTAGTTTACATGCAGTATCACTGCTGACTTGCAAGAAATAGGTTTTTAGGCAGTATTAGCTTTAAGAGGCAGTACTGCACCAAAAACCCAAGAGAAATCGCATCTGCACAATTAAGTAGACTGAAACTCATGTGAAGCGGGTAAGCACTAAGAACATTTTTGCAAAATATTGCACAGTGCCATAGGAAGTTTTGCTAATGACTACAGTTTAAAAATCTTTCTTTGCAAAGATTATCATAACACATTTCAGTGTACAGTATTACTAGCATATACTGAGCTAAAGTTGACTATCAAAATCAGCCAGCAATGACTGATCTCTATTTGGTATGTTTTGTTTGTCTGATAAACTTGCAAAACCAGCTAATTCATAATATGTAATACACAATTATTAGTGCAAATTAACAAAGTCTTCGCATATTCATTGCGGCAATCACGGGTAGGAAATCAAACAAATTCGAACTGTTTATTTGTCAGACAATACTGCAAATAAGGTAGACATTACTGCATGTCCAGTGCAAGGAAAAAATAAGGGAAAGACAAACATCACTAAGAAGTATCTTATAAAGTTTTAAAATAAAGACTAAGTCTTCCTTAATAATTCTCTCATAATAAATATGAAAGAAATGAGCATTGCAAATGCAGATTATAGCCACCACTAGCAGCAAGAGGAGCCTTTATCACCCAAAGAGGGCATAGCAGAAACACAACCGAGCTAAACTGCTCATATTAACTGCAACAGCCTAGCAAAAGCAAAACAGCAATGGTAAGCAATTCGCCAGGGCAGCGCGGAAAGGCTGCTGTTCGGTCTGTGGGTTGTGCAGAAGTCGGGGTGCAGATTTCCCGTCCTCCTTACACGGCAGCCTCTGCCAGGGTATGAAGTCCCTTGTAAACACATCCAGCCTCGACCAAGACCGGGAAGCAAGCTGTGGAGACCCCATCCTCACGCAAGGGTCCCAGGAATCCTGGGGTCCCCTTTTAACAGAAGTATTGACCTAGTACAGTAGTACCAGCATACTTTGCAGAAGGGTGGTATCAGTATACTTTGCATCCAAATAATGACTCATCATTACAACATAGACTGCTCTTACCAAAATCAAGTGACTTGAATACCGAGTTGCTCTGAGATGGAAAGAGGAAAGCAGAACCAGGGCTGGTAATGATATGAAGGGAAAAAGTATCCCCATGACTTATGATGAAAGATTATTCCAGAAATGACTCTGCCCTCACAGGAACAGAGCTGCATTTAATGTCCTAGAAAGCCCTGAAGATAATCTATTGAGGGATAAAACATGTTACTTAGTAAACAATAAATTCTGCGAATGCCATCTTAAAACTGTTCTTTCTGCCCAAACATTAACATGCATCGTTACTGGAAAGCTTTTACACAAGCTAACACTTCTGCTGACAAAAAACCCCCCTCTTTCCAAGATACAACCCGCACTTACCCACGGCCAGTTTCTCTCTAACCTAGTACTAACACTATTGTTAAGGCTAAATAACCACTCCCCGCCTCCCTGGTTATTTTTTGATGTAACAGAGGCATTTCAAGGGGGGGTGGTCTCAGCTGGGAAACAGTTTATGCATTTATAGATAAGTAGTGCTAGTCTCGGCTTTGCAGCAGTAATCCACTGGGGAATTCTGGCTGGCCCACGCATGGGGCAGGTGGAACCTCTCCTTGCCGATTCACCAGCTTTACCCCAGCCCCAACCTCAGAAAGAAAGCTCTGGAGAAAGGCCTCAAGTCAGAAGGAAAGGAAGAAAAAAGAGCATATAAACCAGGGATAACAGGAGCGTCAGGGAGCCGTGCCGCCAAAACTGAAGAAATCAGGGTGGTCAGTGAGAAGAGGCTCATGGTATAATTATGCTTGTGTCCAGAAAAATAACTGTGACTCAAAGTGCAAAAGTACTTGTAGAAAAGCAAAAATAGCTGAGACTATGCTTTCTTTACAGCACCACCAGATAGGGTATGGCTTCTGTGGGAAATGTGGCATTCACTTTACCGTGAATTAAGGATAGCATGAGTTCAAGCAAACAGAATCTAGCATGGTGTAACAGCAGCAGTTCTGTCCTCATGGGGAAAAAAACCCACAACCCCAAAAGCATAGCTTTGCTTTCAGCCACTGTTAAGGGTTTGCCAACAGCTAGAAAGACTTGTAGAGGCCCCTTGGTCCATGAGCCTTGTGTAAAGGGGAACAACCAACTCCCCACCTCAATTTGGAAGAGCAAGTTTCCTTTGTTGAAATCCTCAACAAGCAGAACAGGGTCCACTCTAACCTCTGCCCTGAAGCCACGCAGCATCCTTTGGTTTCATCTATACCTTGCATGGTTTTATGTAGGTGTGCATGTGTGTAGATTTTTATGATTTATACATAAATGTTGGAGCCTGTTGTTTCAGTCCCACTTGAAGTTTCTGTCACTGTTTACAAGCCTTCAGGATGAAAAAGACATAATTCCCCTCTTCAAGGATAAGCATCCAGAGAGCTACAGGTTAGACAGCCTCACCCTCACCTCCAGCAGGTGATGGAGCAAACCCTCCTGGAAACCATTTCCCAACTCACAAAGTAGGACCAGGAGGCGATGGGAGCACTCGGTGTGGATTTAGAAAATGGAAATCATGCCTGAGCAGCCCAAGAGCCTACCTCGATGAGAGGACTGGCATGGTGGATGAGGGGAACACAGGGGATGCTGCTTGTCTTCACTTCAGCAAGGCTCTCCACGCCATCTCGCTTAACACCCTCACAGACAATCTGATGAAGCACAGTCAGGACAAGCAGGGATGCAGATGGAAAACTTGCTGAATAGGCCAACTCAGAGGGTTGTGACAAGCAGCAAAGTCCAGCTGGATGTCAGTGACAGCAGGCAGAGCCCACAGGTTGAGGCTGGGGCTAATACTGTCCAACATCTTCATTAGGGACCTGGATGACGGGACAGAGCACACCCTCAGCCTGTTTGCAGCCAACACAACATTGGGAGGAGTGGTGGATACAGCAGATGAGTGTGCTGCCAGTCAGAGGGATCTCAACAGGCTGCAGAAACAGACCAGTAGAAACCTCATGAAGTTCCACACAGAAAGGCAGTGTCCTT